CAGAAATATAACTAATGAGAAGTAGAATTGTCGAAGACCTTGACATTAAAGATGAGTTGATAAGGAATTTAATGCGATGTGTGAATATAATTTTTTTAAGTCTTTTTCTTTTACAGAGAGACCGGATTCTTCTCTCAGGGCAAGTCTACACTACAGCGTCACATCAGTGCAGCTGCAACACATCTGGTGAAGACCCCTCATGCTGATGGGAGAGCGCTCTCCTGTCGGCATAATTACTCCATCTTGGCGCGAAGCAGAAACTATGTCGACGGGAGAGTGTCTCCTGCCGACATAGTGCTGGTGTGGACAGCCCGAAACTTGCATCGCTCGGGTGGGCTTTTTCACACTCTTGAGCGAAGTAAGGTATATTCACTTAGGCTGTAGTTTAGACCTGCCCTCACTTATATAGGAATAAGTGAGCAGCAGCTCCAAGGAAGTCAGTGGAGCTATGCCAGTTCATGAGATCAGAATAAGGCCTATGAAGTTATATGATTTACATGAGTATTTTTTTCAGTAACTTGTTGGTTTGAAAGAAAAGGGAGCTGCTTTTTCAGTTGTGTGCCCATATAACCGTAATCTGATTAAATTTTTGCAGTGCCTCTCCGTACACAATAGACAGGATGACGGCACATTCTGTCTGCTTTCTTCAGACAGATCCCAATTTAAAAAAAAAACCAAAACCTCAAAGGATAACTGTTGCGTAAACAGAGTCCAAGCCAAAGCATAGTAGCTGCAGTTGCTACTGTGTTTGCAAAAGAACGCTTTAAGAATCACATACACCTAACATGTACCCTCGTGTGGTCAATGGATTAGAGCTGCTGAATGAGAGTATGTAACAACTTATTAGCTGTAATATTAAAAATGCATGTTCAAACCAGGACAAATATACCAAAAGACAAAATATTCTTATTACAGATATTACTTGTAGCCTGAGTTTGGTATGACACAGTTTGAGACACTAAATAATGTAATCAGTTTGTGGTTTCAATTAATATGAACCATCTTGTAGGTCCTTTTGAAAATCAGTGTTAACTGTTCCTCAATTTGGCTGCCTACATTTCCCCATTTTATACAGTCCCAGGTTGTGATTATTTACACACCAGCTTGCTCATTTCCCCCATCTTGAATGAGTCTAGAAAAATGTACTGGACCATTATGGTGTTTTATAATGAATGTTGGGCTAAATGAACACAGTGCAGATTGGACTGCATGCCCCAAATGTCTTTGCATAAAACGCTGATGGCTTTATACAAACTTCCATTATACCAAAAAACAACCCCCCCTAATTAGCTATGCTAGATAACTTGTGCTTGTCAGAACATATGTTGGTTTGAATTTTTTTCTGAGTCATTAAGTTGAATTGTATATTAAAAAAATCTGATCTAGCCAAGACTTGGCACTTACATCATCTTGTCTAGTACAGATATTGAAATCCTTGACGTTAACATTCCGCAGGAAAGGGTAGATGTAAAATATGTCTGCCGCAAATGAAATTCTGCCAAGTCTTGTAAATCTGTAGCCAATTCTTTAGGGGTCATGTAGGATTAACTTGGCCTTGTAACACAGTCTAGTATGATCACATTTTCCAGTGCATTTTATTTCTTTTAAGTGCTATATTTTTAAATTAATATATAATTTATTCTCATTTCACAGGGAAAAAACCCTACCCTTTTCTCTTCAGTTTTGGTTTAGTCGTGGTCCAGGATTTACTTTTATTCATTCTATATTGACTCCTGTATAACTACTTTAGATTGGATGTCCTTTAAAACAAACAGTTTTTTAGTCATATAGAAGTATTATTTCACATTTTGTGTCTGGTTGTAGGTCAGTACCTCCGTGGACACTTTGCATTGAAGTCCTATTGTGAGATTAACCCATACATTTTAAAACATGGGGACTGTATTTTTACAAAAGGCTGCTGAAATGTTTTTAAGTCGAAACGCTTGAGAAATTTAAAAATATTTGGATAAGCACCCTAAAGCTTGGATGTTTATCTAGTATTCAAACTTGGGCTGTAAATCTCAAATAGATTTTTTTTTTCTTGTCACGCTTCAAGTATTTCCAGTTTCCACTTTGGCTGGGGATATCAGAGCCACCTGTCCTGCACGATTTTGGTACTTTTGATCCAGGAAATGAAAATGTTCAAGGACCAGAGGAGTAGGAAATAATTATCTTTTTCTAACCTCCAGAAGTTTTTATCCACTCAGTTCTTAGTTTATCTGTACAACTTCACCAATCTCTATTAACTGCTACTGTTTGCTTAGAATAGCATGCACATTTCTGTAGGCTCTTTGATCCAAAAGAATTTCCAAATACTTTAAATTAAAACTATTGACACCACTCCATCACTGAAATAAAGCCACACAAGGGAGGGAAGGCAGCAGCTAGGCACTGCACAACGGGAGGCAGAGGTGTAATTTTGATTCCCTATTTCTATGGATCTTGAAGCCAATCTCTGTAGTCTGGTGGGGTTGAATTAAAAGGAAACACTTTCCTTCATGAACACTCTAGGTTAAGTATCAGGGGGTAGCCGTGTTAGTCTGTATCTACAAAAACAACAAGGAGTCTGGTGGCACCTTAAAGACTAACAGATTTATTTGGGCATAAGCTTTTGTGGGTAAAAACCTTTACTCTAGGTTAAAACTCCACTTTTCCTTTGATGTGGTTAGAGAATCATGTTATTTTCTTGGGCCCTGTTGTTCTGTTCCTAGTTCTCCTTTTGCTATTTTTGCTAGCGCTCACCCAGTAATCAAAGGAGTAGGTGAAGGAGCAATGAAATAGTGATAGCTCAGTTGGTTTGCTGAAGCTCACTGATCCCAGGGAACAGTAACTAGTGATATGCATCCCACAAGGCAAGTGACGGAAACGGATAAGCAGTATGTTTACTACATCATGGTTTATTTATTCTGTTTGCAAACAAAACAAAATGCCAACTGAAAGGTGACCAATAAAATACACAAATGTTGAAGACCTGTGTGTTTAGGGCAGGGGTCGGCAACCTATGGCACGCGTGCCAAAGACGGCACGCGAGCCGATTTTTAATGGCACGCTGTTGCCTGCCGGAGTCCCGTCAGGCAGCAGGGTGCCATTAAAAATCCTGCCCGGCCCGGCCTGCTCTTCTCTGCCCGCCCCCCCTCCATGGGGGCAGGGACATAGGTGTGCACACGGGGTGTGCTGGGTGTGCCCAGACACACCCTAATGCAGGGGTGGGCAAATGGCTCCACTCTCCCGGCGTGGCAAGCTGCCGGCCCCTCCCCCACCCTCCCCCCTCCCCTGGAGCCATGCTCCAGGAATATTCAGGGCTGGGGGCTCTGCTCCTCCAATATTTGGAGCTGGATCTCTCCCCTGGCCCTGCCTGGAGTGGGCCCCGGCCCCCGCCTGCGGGTCTCCCCCCTGCCCCGCCGCATCCCTGCCTGGAAGAAAGTGGCGTGCGCCTCTCCCGTGCCTGCTTGTTCTGCCGGCGTAGCACATTCCTACGCGGAGTGGCTCCCAGCAACAACTGCTGTCTGCTGCCCCAGGGTCCTAGTGCCCCCCACCCGCTATCGCAGGGCAGGCTGCCCTTACCCTGCCCTTCCGCCCTAGCCCTGAGCCTCTCCAACACCCCCAACCCCTCATCCCCAACCCTCATCCCCCTGCACCCTAATCCTCTGCCCTAGCCCTGAGCCCCCTCCTGCATCATGAACCTCTCATCCTCCTCCCCAGCCAGAGACCTCATCCCCCGCACCCTAATCCTCTGCCCCAACCCTGAGCCCCCTCCCTCATTCTAGCTCCTGGCCAGACCCTTCACCGGCCAGCCCTGTGCTCAGTGCACTCCCCCCCTCAGCTCAATGCAGAGAGAGGAAGAGAATGGGCCAGAACCAGGGAGAAGGTAGGTACCCACTGTATATGGGCAGGGCTGGGACCCCAGATCGGCAGCGGGCTGAGCGGATCCGGCAGCCGGGATCCCGGCTGGCAGGAGTTGGTGGATGGAACCCCTGAGTGGCAGTGGGCTCACAAGCTCTGTTTAGAAAACAGCTGTGGCTTGAACCAAACTAGAGAACTGAAATACTCACTGGCGCACCGACCAGTCTGGCTAGAAGGTTAAAGTTGGATAGGGTTCCTGGATGATTAGGTACCCATAACTGAGTGTGGACCTTTATTGCATAGCCATGGTACTGAGGCCATGGTACAGAGCACTGCTCAACAGTTGAGTCAGGGCAATGCCATGCTCTTCTGGAGCTTCACAGTTTCATCTGAACCCTTCAAGATAGCAACTTCAGTCAAAGCAAAGGCGATGACAAGAAAGTTTGTTTACTGTCATTTGCTGGCATGCCACTGAAAGTACAGAGTAGGCAACAAGGTGGCATACAAACCTCAGACTTGGAATAAGAATGAACAGCTTTTCTCTTTGACACCATGTTTTAAAGGCAAAAAAATTTAATCTGTCACAGGAGTGCTACTCCCAGCAGTGTATTTCTAGAACTGTAAAAATGTTAACCTATAAACGGAGTCTCCAAGCCCCTGTGCCTGCCAGCTGCATTTAAAGAATTTGGTAAGCTGGATCTGGTACAAAATTCTGTAGTGTGTTGCTGCTGTGTGGTAATCAGACATAGGATTAGTTCAATTCAGACTAGAAATGTATTACATCGTTTTTCTTTAAAGAGCCCTTCCTGTGTCATAGTTATATTAGCTTGTTTTTGTTTAGATTCCATTTGTTTGTGTCTTAGATATATTCTGCTTTTTTCATTGCGGCATATGGAAGAACACAGGGTATTTGTTCATCTGAAGTCATTGGTTCCTCATTTTAAGTTATAATCCTGTAATGTGACATCCTCTCCATTTTTTTTTTTCTAAATCAGACACACACAGGGGCACAAGTACTTTAGTAACTCCACAATGTTGCTCAGTGTGGACTATGAAAGCTAATATGCATTCAAATCTGATGGTCCGCCTCTTTGTCATAAACTGTGGCTTTATGATATAAAGTTGTTGATCTTATCTCTTTTTTTTGCCCCCACCAGATAAACTATTAGTTCTAACTGTAGCAACTAAAGAAACAGATGGCTTTCACCGCTTCATGCAAACTGCAAAGCACTTCAACTATACAGTGAAGGTACTGTATGCTCTGTCACTCATGCTGAATATTGGACATAGTTTTATAGCCTCAACTCAGAAATGAAATAGTCTTAACACAGAAACAATGTGTCATGATTATGCTGCAGTAAGGTAAAACAGTTATGGAACCTAGCAATGGAGACAACCCATTAGGTCATCTGTTCCGTATCCTTGCAGGATAGGTTTCCCATGACACATTTGCTAGTGTTTTGTCTAGTCTGTTTCTAAATGTGCCAGGAAATGGGGTTAGTTCCACTGACCTTGAGAAATTATTCCACAGATTCATAGATTTCACAGTTGGGAAGACCTTTCTGAAAGTCTAAGTTTTTTCTTTCTTAATTTCATTCCGTTACTACCGCATTTGTTATTATTCCTAGCTATTTTGCTGTTGCACGTTTTTATTCTAAGCATGCCACTCCTCCCTCAGTATTCGCACCCTTCAAGTGTTTGTAGATTATCATGTCACACCTTAGTCTTTGCTTAGCAAAGCGATATTTATTTGACTACCTCATCATCCCTCCTGCAGCAAAACCCATGGGAGCTGTGCTGACAGAGCTCATGCAGCTGAAGATGCCTTCAGGGCCCCATACCTCTTAAATGGGTCCTACTATTGGGGGTGGGGAGGCATGGAAACCTAATAAATCCCTTAGCTGTGTTACATTTCCCAGGGAATCTCTGTAGAGCTGGTGAGAGGACAATACAAATCCTCTCAATCCTCCCTTATCACTCTTTCACCACTTTTGATCGCCCAATCCTCTTGCTGGCCTACTCTGTCCTACTATTTCAATGCAGAACGAAGGAATCTGTATCCTGAAGCTGTCTCCTGCATCCAAATCTCACAGGAGCATGACCCCCCCCCCCCCCATTTTTAAACTTTTCTCATAAATCAGTCCCTCAAGACAAAACCAAGGGATTGAAATGAATCTGTGGTAAAACATTATCCATGCTTATCACACTATTGAAACTGTAAATCAAAAGAGACCAATTAATGACTGTTGGCCCATTGGTTTCTCTTTTAGAAAAAAGTTGAAATGCTGCAGTCTGTTTACTTCAACCATCAAGTCCTGAAAAAGTACAGGAGGAAAGATCATCTTTCCTAACTGAAAAATAATATATTAAAAATCCTAGGAAATTGACCTTTGGAGAGTTTGCTTGTAATTTTGCTGATTGTTCTATAGCACCTATATTGCTGTAATCCCTCTGATATTTAGTAGTTCAAGAAAAATAATAATCTTGTGTTAAACTTTCAAGGCTTACAAAAGATTTAGGTGCTTATTGCTGATATGATTCCCTACGATACTTGGTAAGGATGGAATTCTGTTTAGTTGATTTAATTGCCTATCATACATTGAGGAATCCATCCTAAACTTCTAGTGTGAGAAAGTGGCCTGAGGCATTAAAAACTAAATGTTTATTGTTTCCATTGTCATGTCTCTTCTATGCTCTTTCACCCCTCTTTCCGTCCAAATACTGTAGCAATGTTTAAAGGTCATGTAGTGAACGATTGTTTTAATACACAATTTAGAGCATCCACATATCTTCTCTTCCTAAGTGAGACAGATATGAGTAGGGTGACCAGGTGTCCCGATTTTATAGGGACAGTCCCGATATTTGGGGCTTTTTCTTGTATAGGCACCGATTACCCCCCCACCCCCAGTCCCGATTTTTCACATTTTCCGTCTGGTCACCCTAGATATGAGATGTAGTGGAATGTAATCTTTCGGTTCTTGTTTGTTTAGGAAATGTCTCTCCTATTTCTGAAATGATGTCATTGTGCTCAGTTCTACTTGACATGGAAAACTTAGAATGCTTGAAATGCTGACTCACTGCATTTTACAATGCTATAATATCCACTAGTTAAAGTGTTTGCTTGCTTGCCTTTTGTTTGACATCCGTTTTTTAACGAGGTTATATTAAAAATTACCCTCTGGGTACAAGCGAAAAAATGTACTTTCTCCCTGTTTCCAGGTTCTTGGTAAAGGTGAAGAGTGGAAAGGTGGAAAGTTAATTAACTCTATTGGAGGAGGACAGAAAGTGCGATTGCTGAAAGAAGGAATAGAAAGCTATGCTGATCAAGAGGACTTGGTTGTAATGTTTGTTGAATGGTAAGCAAATTCTGCTTGTTGCTTTCATGCCCTACTCTTTATAGGATGCTAATAAAAGCTCTTGTGGCATGCTGATATTTTCTCCTACTTTAGTTTTTATCTGAGAAAGTTAGCTTCTAGTTTTCCATTCATAAAAATATTATACAATTGGATCGGATGTTGTTTTTTTTGTCAGATTTACAGATGTAAAAATTGTTTCGGAGCCATGGCTCTGCTGTACTATGAACAATGTTATTGCACGAACAAGCTGTGAAACGCATTGACTCACTAAACATTTGGTTATTAGTTTACCTTTTCCCATGAAAAAGCAACTGTCTTGTTGCTGTTATAACAAAGTGATTGTGAGATGGAAATGGTGTGTGAGGAAGTGGTAAAAGCAGCTTCAAACTGAAGTGGTGGCCAGTAGACCGCTGGGGCGTAATTCTCAGAAACACTAAAGCCCCTTTATGTTGGTCTGGCAGTTAAAGGGGTCTTAAATAGGCTGGAAGTGCTCCCTGAAAATATCTCCTGTGTGAGGGTCTCCCCACCTGCTGTAGAGCTGCAGTAAGGGCTCCCTCACCAGCCATGATTCTACTGCCTATGAGGGGAGGACAGCCCCAGAGCAGGGATGTAGCATGCTGCAGCACATTTAACTACAGCTGTTTTCTGCTTCCCAGGGTCCATAGAAAACTATAAGTTAGAGCAGCCTCTCTGAGGGCCAGGTAGGTCCCTCTCAGACCAGAATATAAGGAGCACAAAGGTGACTTGAAGCCATCTTTCCTTCTACCTCCCTTCCGCTCTTCCCCCCCCCCTCCCCATCCCTCCTGTTCCTTCCCTAAGGACAGGATTGGTGTAACTGAGAATCTGGTCCATGGAAGTCTACAGAAGCTTCCCTGTCAACTTCAATCAGAGCCAAGTCAAACCTTTAAAGCAGTTGCCTTGGTGGATGCAAGGAGAGTGAATCACAAAGTAGGGACTTGCAGAAATGCTTCAGTTTGCGCACCCTGAGAAGTTGTGTGAGCTGAGTAACGTCTGCTGCTTTTATTATTGACAGTGATGTCCTAGCAGCTGATGCAGACTTTTGTCAGTTTGGAATAAAATTTTTGGCAGACATACTACAATTCTTTTTTTTTCTCTTTTCTTTTTCTTTTCATCTTTAAAACCACACAATCTGTCATTTACACATACTGTCATTCTAAACAAGATCACAATGCAATGGCCTCTTGGGCTTACACCAGGTTAATTTCTCTTTTGATTTAGTATAACTTCTGTGCAATTTTGGATTTCCTTCAAAGTTTAGGAGTGTTTTTGCAAGTTAAACAGATATGGAGGGGCTAGGTTAGCAAAGTTCATATGTGAGAGAGTGATCTCCCTGCATTATCTTATTTATTCAAAATTTCCCATGCTTTTCTATCTACCTTATGAGTTCGGGCAGCTGTTCAACTGGATTCTCAACCTTACAGTCATGTTTTATGACTTGACTTACATTCTCTCATTTTTTTCTTTGTGATATGCAAGAAGTAGTTAGAAATGGAAAGCACAAATCAGTTTACCCACTTTATGAATAACATTTGTAATAGAAATGACATAGGGGGACTAAATATTTTCACTCTCCTACATTTAATTTGCATTTAGAGTGATGTACGATTGGTAGGATAAGCTACCCATTCAGATATTAAATTGCTACTTACAGACACTTTCTTTCATATTTAATCTTATTACCAATTTACTGCATTTTGATAAATAGAATGCATCGTGAGAGCAGTTGTTTGTTTAATTCTTTAAAAGGAGTTAACCTTATTTGGGTTTGATAAAATGAGTAATTTAGTCTGCCCTATTGGCCAAGTACTAGTGAAACTTATTTTAAATTTTTTAATTTTGAAGATATCTTTACTTAGGACTTGTGTGTGAAATCTCTTTCAAATTTTTAAACTGATTGTAGAGGGATCTCCCGCTCCCCCCCCCCCCAACATTTTATATTTCTTGAGTTAAAGTCTGTCCTTTTGCTTTTGCCCTCTCTCTAAGTGGGTGTAAAAGTCACAAGGTCTTAGTCCTATAATTTGAGTAGTAAAGTCTCATACTGCTAATTATCTGAGTCCCAGGTTCAAATCCCACTGTTGCTCATGCAAGGTCAGTTAGATACACTGAACTACTGGTGCAGTCACATCATTTCACATAGGAGCAAGTTCGTTTTTCTAGCATAGAAATGGGCTGTGGTGTTCATTTAAGCTATGGCTCACCACCTGTGTAGAATTGGGAAGGAATTTTTCCCATGCTGCAAGATGCTTGTTCTTTTTTGCTATCTTTGAAGTAACAGGCAGGCCTGGCATGTAATGAATGATACAGTCAATGACAAGATTTAGTTACATTAATGTCCAAATGTTGCAGGAAAGTAGGGTAGTTTTTGCTTACTCCAACCCTGAGCAATGGGCCAGGAGCCACTGAGGACTCAGACGGGGTATTGGGCATCTAAATTGTGCACATGTTCACTCATCAGTTATCAGTATTTTTTGCACTTCTCTCCATGAAAGAGGACCATTAGAAGGATGGTTAATCCCTAATGCTGGCATTTGTTTGGATCAGAAGTGAAGCTGCCTTGTAGGATAAGAGAGCCATCTCAGTTAGTGGAAATTGGAGCTCCACAATGGATTGGTGTTGCTGAGTAACAGCGGTGGTGGTGGTGTTTAAATTAAAGCTCACTGTTAATAAAGTTCAATCACACTGACTAATAAAGCTTCAGCTTGTTTTTTAAAGCCCTAAACACCTGTGTGGGTTATTCTTTCACTTGCCGAGTCCTGGCCAGCGTATCCATTTCACAAATAGTTAGTGCAGGGCATTACACTAATCTTCTGAGGATGAGGGAGGAATGGAGCCACCTTTGATACACCTGTTATTGCAGAAGTAAATTTGTTTAGGAAGCAGTGCTCTGGAGATGCATCTGGTTCCTGTCCTCAGCTGGAAGAGGCTGCAGTAGATCCATTTGGAAAGTGGAAAAGTGCAGCCTGCCATAAAACTACTGGGCCTTTGACCAACCCCCATTTTTCTTCTCCCCATCAGCCTATCCCCTCTGTCTTGCTGTATCCTAGCTCTGAGTCAGGCTTCACCAATTTGAATGGGAAGAGGAGGGAAGGATGTGTCTGGACAAAGGCAGATAATGTCTGTAAGGCTGGGGAGACTCCAAGGATACTTATTTCTTTTAATTAAACCTTGTGCCAAACCTACAGGAGGGCAAACCAGTTTTCATAAAACTACTTACTTTTATATATGGTATGTAACACACTTCCTTTCCTTGGGGTGCCTATTTACCAGTTACTCTGCTTTGTGCTGCAAAGCCCTCCTCCTCTTTCTGCTTCCAAACTAGTGGTGGCTGGGTTGGTCAGGTCTGCCAAGCCAAATGGAGATGATTACTTTTTTTTTTTTTTTTAAGGCTTTTTAGACAATTGGAAAACTGGAATTAGTGTTAAGAAGTTCTATGAAATGTAAAGATACTTGGATGCGAAGCACTTTATTTTAGCATCATAAATTTAAATCCTTTTAGAAAAGTCTGTAAAGCAGCACCCTTATTCCTATTGAGCAGTACCTTACTCTGTAAGTAGGTCCCCTTCAATTCAAAGGACTACTCTTAGAGTAGTACTCAGTGGATGGATTCTCCTTTAGTTTGTTCCTGCATTTGAGGGAGGGAAGAAGCTTTCAGGCAGAGACCCGGGGGGAGAAGGGGGTGGTCACCTCCTTTTACAGTGTGGGGCATGGATCACTTGCTGGTTTGAACTAGAGTAAATGGTGGATTCTCTGTAACATGAAGGCTTTAAATTATGATTTGAGGAATTCAGTAACGCAGCCAGAGGTTAGAAGTCTATTACAGGAGTGGGTGGGTGAGGTTCTGTGGCCTGCTTTGTGCAGGAAGTTAGACTAGATGATCCTGATGGTCCCTTCTGGTGTTAGTCTGAGTCATTGATACCTTTTGCAGGGGCGTACTCAGCCTCTGCTGCCTGCCCCAACCCATGTAAATTAGAATGACTTCCTGGCTGCTCTGACACTCTGCGTCCCATGGTTGCTGGGAAGCAAAGAATAGCTGTTGTGCAGTGCGCTCTGGCATGCCTGCTCCCCTAATGTGTATGCTTATGCCTTTTGGAGTTGAGTGCAGCAAGAAATTGCACCTGCTTGAAGAGAAAGGGACACCAAAGATACCACTTTCAGAAAAATGAGTTTCCTTCCAAATTACTCATTTGTCTTCAGAGTAATTTATAAGGCAAGGATTTTTCCCCCTTGACTCCAAAAAATGGTATTCTTGCTATTACTGTGTCCTCATCCTGGCAGATAGATTGAGATTGTTTTTGAAGTCTCTTCATTCCCTCCTTTCCCCCATAGGAAATAAGCTGGAAAGGATGCAGCTATGCCAAGACTCTCAGTTTTGGAATAAGGCATCTTTTTGGCCAAGGGACTAGACTCTGACTCTGCTGCTTCTGTTACGGTTCATAACAAGTAGCTTTTGCCAGTGGTTTGTTCTTCTTTTATAGAGGATGCTTTGAAAACTCATTTCTCATAAATGCCTCTTTCAACACCTGTTTTATTACTTAAACAGTATTTTCCTCTAGATTAAATCAGGTAAATGCCACTAATTTTCAGGGTGCATGCACGCTAAGATTTAATCTGGGGAAAACAGGGACATGGGCAGATATCATGCCCTTCAATGCCAAGGTCCACAGGAAAGTCAAAGTTAGGTGGGGAAGCTAACTGCATTGTGTGGTATGGGTTGGGGGCAGGTGTAACAACAGCACTGAGTCAGGTCTTGGGGACTTCAGCCACTGGTGTAGCTTCATTGGTACAAATCCCTAGTGTAAAAGGGGAAGGCAAACAAGTGCAATTAGCCCCACTTCCAAGCAAAATAAGCTGCACCACTTCAAAGAGTATCTTATTTTTGTTTTGCTGGCTATGCTGGGTACTGGTAATGGTACAGATACACCATGGTCACTGACTGCTATACCTGATTAGAGGAGGCCTCAGAGGAATTAGAGCCTTGTCAGGTGACAGGGATATGTAATTTAGAAATGCACGTTGGCAGGAATAATTTGAACTACACATAAATATTGCTTATTGTAAAATTAACTGTAACCTTTTGGGAAAGAGACCTGGGCATCATTGTCGTCAGCTCAGTGAAAACTTCTGCTCAATAAGCAATAGCAGTCAAAACAAAATATTAAGATGTATAAAGAATGGGATAGAAAATATTATAATGCTCTCAATGGTACGTCTTTTTTCACCTGGAATACAGTTTAGTTCTGCTCAGCCAACCTCCAAAAAGTTATAGCAGGAAAATGGTGCTCAGAGTTGAGAGATTAATATTACTAGAAGTAGAAAGATTTCATTATGAGGATGGAATGAAACATTGGAGCTGTTTAGTTTAGAGGTGATGGAGAAGAAGGCATATGTTTGCATAATACCAAATGATGAATGAGATAGAGAAGTTAAACGCAGAGCTTCTGTGTACTAGTTTTTGTAGTACAAGAACATAATGAAATTGAAAGGCAACAATCTTCAAACTGAGAAGTTTGTTTCCCCTCTCCCCGCTCGGCCCTCCAATGTACAATAAACTTGTGACGCTCACTGCTACAAGATATCACCTGAGACCAAGAGGTTAGCAGGATTCAAGGACTGGATGTTCTCATGGGTAAAGAGAACATCCACAGTCAGGTTAGACAGTGGCAGTGGGAGAGGGGGATTACAAAGAATAAAAGACTTTTTTTCTCTTTCATAGCCATCCAGTAACTGACAGAATTTAGGAAGAAACTTCTATGGGCAAGTAGTTCAAACTGGCCTGTTGAAGGGTTTCTTTCCCCTTCCTCAAACATCTAGTGTGGCCATACTAGGAGACAGGCTGCTGGAAAAGATGGACTACTGATTTAATCCAACCGGCAGTTTTTATTTCCTATGCTCCTATTAATTTGGTTTCTTTTTTTGAAGTAAGCAACTAGATTGCATAGTAAAAAAACTCATAGATCAAGACTCATAGACCACAGGGCATATAACTGTGCTATGTAACATATTCATGGTATGAATTCCATATGTAATTGCTTTAAATTCAAACCTCTATAATTGTCACTAAGGAAGGCAGGCTTCCTAGCCTCCCACTTACTGACTGGAATAACACCTAAAGTATGCATAAACAAGGGAACTAGTCATTAATGAAATACTGTCTACATTTATATTAGAGTGAAGGTGGATTAGGATTAAATGGATTAGGGCCCACAAATACTTGACAAAGGTATGTTTCATTTGCTGCATTCCTGTTGTAATGTTACCTGATATAAGTAATCACAATGATTTATTCTCCATCTTATTCCTGGAAGTGTGAAGGATGTATAGATTTCCACAGTGAAGAGCAGGCAGGGGGATTGTTCTAGTCTGCATTCTTATAGCTCAGTGTCTCGCCCCCTGCTGCCCTCCCCCCCAAGAACTGATAATGCCCAATTAATTCTCACAGTCCCCCAGCGAGGTATAGAAAGATGCTGTAAGAACGAATATCTCCATTTTCTGGTGAGGAGGCCACAAGGCTACCAAATATGTACAAAGAGGTAGGTGTCAGCTGTAAAAACTAAATCCAGGTCTTTAGGGTTTCAGGCAGAGATTTAGCTGGCTATCGTGAAGTGCAGCCCAATCAAATCATCAGCACTTCTGTGTCATGGTTCTGCTCTCTGTGAAAAAGACCTAATAATAGTTTTTGCACATACATAATGTTTTTTTCATCTGTAGAGCTCAAATTGCAAGGTGGGCAAACGTGCAACCCTGTTTTATAGTTTAACCAACGACATTTATTTGAAACACTTTTTCTGAGCAGCTCTTTGATCTCTAGTAGACAGGATCTGTAATGCTGGACAAACTAGATTCTGTTCCCAGCTGTGCTGCAAACTTCCTCTGTGACTTTTTGGCCTGGTCATTTTAATTCTGTCTCCCTGTTTTTTATGCTTTCCTAGAGTTATGGAGCATCAGCAGCTTAGCTTAAGAACTTAACGTCTCTTGAAATCTAGGCCCTCAACCTTTTTGTTTGTCTGTTCCCACCTGAAATACCTCTACCTCGATATAACGCTGTCCTCGGGAGCCAAAAAATCTTACCTCATTATAGGTGAAACCGCGTTATATTGAACATGCTTTGATCCACCGGAGTGTGCAGCCCCGCCCCCCGGAGCACTGCTTTACCGCGTTGTATCCGAATTCGTGTTATATCGGGTCGTATTATATCAAGGTAGCGGTGTATGAGTTATATTTAACTCTCGCTCTGGGAGGTTTATACTGCAAGGCTTTGATGAATAAGGATGTGAAATTAGAGAACTGTGAAGGCCAGTGGGTAGAAGAGGTGCGACTAGAACTCAGGACATCTGGACTCCAAGCTTTGTCTGTTATCATCTAAGATAAGGGGCTGTATTGGTGGGGAATTCAACAAGAAGAGGATCCCATTTATCGGATCCTCTAATTTCCTGAAACCTTTGAAAAGTGCATAGCTAAGTTAGGGTGTATGCATTCATGGGTTTCTCTACGTTTCAAACTGTAGGGCTACTGCACATGCTTAGTATGTGACTTTTTAAAGAGAGTCACCCCATCAAATCAAAACCGGTTGCCTTCTGGAACAAGACCACTCACTGCTTTACAGCAAGGGCCATTTTATGCCAGATTTCAACTCCAATCTATTTCAGTTGTTGAGCCCCTACACAATAATTTTTTTAAGTTGTTTTACAATGGAAAAAGTATTTTCTTATTCTTCTCTCAATTAGAACTCCTTAAACTAAAAAAACAACAACCAAACAACCCCCCCCTCCAAGTTAGAGGCAAAGCCTTAAAAATTTCAGCCAAAAAAGTAAAATATTCAGAAAATTTTGTGTGTAAGTGAACAGGGAAGGGATACATATATGTAGAGTGGTTAAGATACTGATTGGTCATATCTTGGTAAGAAGTAGGATCTGTAGGTGTTAACTTAAAGTCTGGCATAATATGCCATGTTTCTGAATGAAACAGTTGCATCAAAATTAAGAGACCACTCTTTGGTTTATTTAACTCTGCATGGTTTTAAGTCTGAATAAGCCAAAACTTTTCTGGTTTGAATTTTCTTCTTTAAAATTAGTGCTAACAGGTATCTTTCCATTACTTTTAGCTATGATGTTATCTTTGCGGGTGGCCCTGAAGAGATGCTAAAGAAGTTCCAGCAAGCTAACCATAAAGTAGTATTTGCTGCAGATGGACTAATATGGCCCGATAAAAGATTAGCAGACAAGTATCCCGTTGTCAGGAGTGGAAAACGATTCCTTAATTCAGGAGGTAGGTATGACTGTTGTACATATTAAAGGTTAATTAAGGCTAGCTGTTCTGTTGTTCTCATAGGGTGTGTGTGCGTGCATGCTGGGCAACTCACCTAAAGTGCTAGTTTCCTAAATTCATGTTTGGGCACCTAAATCACCATTAGAGGAAATTTTTTTTTGTTAACTCTTGTGACAGAATCACCTTGTTTCTCTCTGCTTCCAGCATAAAGGAGTCTTTCTTTATACTTAGCTAGGTGTCAGCCTCCTAACACCACCAGCCTGTAGCAACTCAAGAACTCTCCTCTGGGCTATGCCAGCTCTCACTTTACCTTGCAGTTTAACAGGTGCAGCCCAATCCCCAAGTCCCTTTTGAAGTGGTCCCCTCATATGGGCTACTCACAGAATTACCAGGTCCGCTGTTCCCAAAGAAACAGAACTCATCAGCTTGTAAGATTCAGCTCAGGATCAGCACTTTGCTTAACATCACAGCACTTCAATAAACTTTATTCTTGTTTTCACTATAAATATATTATCAAAGATTCAAGTGATAGAGAGTAAAATTTTGGAAACAAATGGTTACATATAAAACACAATCATAACATGCTTTCTAGAGTCTAAACTTAACTAACAGGTTAACCACTTGTCTAAATAAGTTTTTCTCACCCAAAGTCCTTTGCAGTGTTTTCAACCGAAGCTCGCTGAGATCCCATTTTCATGAATGTAAACACTGTCCATTTACTTCCTGAGTGTAGGATGGGCGGGGGAGGTGGGTGTTGTCATTGCTTTCTTGTTATACCCTCAAAGTTCATTGTCTTTGCTCATAGACCGGGTAACCACGCAAGGCTTGCTTCTTTTTTTTTTTTCTTTTTCCTTGCATGCTGCTTCTATGTTGACTTTGACTTTGTATATAAGTGAGCATCCATTGTGTTAGCTTATACTTCTTAATTTACATACTGAAAGAGGGATATACATTTCTTACCTCCTGGCTGGAGGAAAACCTGTTTTTCATCTTTGCTGGTAACTAATACCTTGATACAGACTTTAAAATACATGTGGAGGTCTTGTGCTGCCAATACTGAATTTCTAAACATTATAGATGACCATTTCCTAACTCAAAAAGTGTTGTGGCCAACATGGGGGTTGATTTAATATACTTAGATTTCTGTAAGGCATTTCACTTGGTACGCTCAATGTTTTGATTAAAAAACTAGAATGATATAAAATTATCATGGCACACATCAAATGAATTAAAAACTGGTTGACTAATAGGTCTCAAAATGTAACTGTAAACAGGGCATCATCATTCAGTGGGAATGTTTACAGTGGTGTCCCAAAGGGATCGGTTGTTGACCCTAAGTTATTTTAACATTTTTATCAATGACCTGGAAGAAAACATAAAATCATCACTGATAAAGTTTTCAGATGACACAAAACTTGGGGAAATAATGAAGGGGACAAGTCACTGATTCAGAGTGATCTGAATCATTTGGTAAACTGGGTGCAAGCAAACAATATGCATTTTAACATAGCTAAATGTACATGTATACATCTAGGAACAAAGAATATAGGGCATACTTGCAGGGTGGGGAACTCTGTCTTGGGAAGCAGTGACTCTGAAAAGGATTTGGGTGTTCTGGTGGATAATAAGCTGAACATGAGCTCCCAATGTGATGCTGTGGCCAAAAGAGCTATTGTAATCCTGGGATGCATAAACAGAGGACTCTTAAGCAGGTGTAGAGAAGTTTTGTTACCTCTTTATTTGGACTGCTGGAATACCATGTCCAGTTCTGGTGGAATTCATAATTCAAGAAGGGTGTTGATAAATTGGAGAGGATGCAGAGAAGAGCCACGAGAATGATTAAAAGATTAGAAAACCTGCCTTATAGTGATAAATAGATTGAGCTCTTTGAATCTAACGTAACAAAGAGAAGGCTAAGAGATAATTTGATTCCAGTCTATAAGTATCTGCATGGAGAGCGAATATTAAATAATAGGATCTTCAAACTAGCAGAGAGGTATTGTGACAGGGCACTATTAGTAGCACCCTGGTCTCTGAGGTTGCTACAGCACTGGGAAGAGTGCGGGCTTAATTGAAGCCAATTAATCAATTTTTGTTGAGGGTTACTAACACTTGGGTGGCAATTTCTGGGCTAATGGGGCAATTGGCTCAGTAATTGGGAGGATCTAAGTGGGAGGAACAGGAAGCAGGGGGAAAGCTTAGAGAGTGAGCTGGGGTTGAGCAGAGAAGGCTATGTGGAAGCTGTCTCTTGCTGTAAGCCTGCAGTACAGTTATACGTTGTAAGGCAAGAATAAATACGTGGTGAAAGGGCAACAACCTGCTATGGTCTCACAGTCATAAGATGCATGAACTGGCCAGGCAGTGAAGTACACTGGATAGCAACCGAGGACTGGTATACCCAGGACAAGTATAACACAATCCAATGGTTGGAAGCTGAAGCTAGACAAATTCAGCATGGAAATAAGGTGTAATATTTTGACAGTCAGGGTAATTGTCCATTGGAACAATTTACCAAGCATTGTGGTGGATTTTCCATCACTCACAATTTTTAAATCTGTGCTCTAGGAATTATTTTGGGGGGCGTTCTCTGGCCTGTTATACAGGAGGTCAAACTAGATGATCACAATTTGGCCTTGGAATCTATGAATCAATTAATCTATGACTTTTCAGTGTATGTATAAGTAACTCCTTACATAGTATTGGTATGCATTTTTCACAGTGGTATCAATGACCAGTGTGACACTGGCTTTCATTTAAGATCTCACATGACATCCTATTGAGAACTAGGATGCACACACCAGACTCATTAGATTTCTATAACCCTTTGTCAGCTGGCATTGAGAGGTTCTTAGGTCACAACACTTTTTGTAATAGTATTCTCTGTTTTCTTCTGAAGGAATGTGTATGAAGATGTGTGCTAATTTGTGAGGTGGGAAGGAGGGTTAGTGGATTGAGAGAGCTAAAATATTTATTTAGCAAAAACATTGCTTGCATAAACTCAGGCTCTGGAGCTGCCAGAATAGGGTTTCTTCTTGGTGACTTTTCCCGGATGGCTGCCATGTTTGTGCTAGTGATTCTATGATTTATTTAAAAAATAACCAAACACCCCCCCTCCCCGCAATCAAGTCTTTAGACTTGTTTTTGCAAAGATGACCTACAAAATGTAAACCAAGTGTAACTGAGGCCTGGTCTACACTTTAAAATTAGATCGACTAATGTCGCTATGTCGCTCTGGGCTGTGAAAAATTGTCACCCTGAGCCCTGTAGTTATTTCAGCCTAAACCCTGGTGTTGCCCTCCCTACCACCTCTCAGAGAAGTGTATAAACTACACCAAGGGAAAGGAATCTTTCCCTCAATGTAGGAAGCATATACCTTATAGCTCAACAGCATCACAGCTGCAGCGCCGTAGCTTTTCTTCTGCAGCACCTGTGCTGTAGACACACCCTTAGAAGGTAATGTCCTTCTGAGTCTGCAGGCAGCCTAAAGCAATAGCTCTGAGAGAATTCTGACCTACTGCTATTGATTTCAGTGAAGTGCTAACTCTGAAGCCTAACTATTGTCACTTAAATATCCACATGGTTAACCATAATATAAGCAGTCAAGAAGGGAATATGTTCACTATGAAAATCTGCACAATCTGTTGTGCATGGCATCTCATCTTGGGCTCCTCTTGGACGCATGAGGGGGTGGAGCTTCGTGGGCACAGCTTTTGAGAGTTAATGCCATTTTCCCCCACACAACCTAGCCTCTGCTTTTTCTTTTTTTTTTTGTCTTTGAAATAAATGTGATGTGTAACAAGCTTCAGCTGAATTTCCTGTACTGTTGATTTATACTTTCCTGCCAGCAAGGAGAGACTGACTACACTAAGGCTTAGCTTCATGCCGTTTTCCACAGCTGGATCACTTCTTTCTTAGCAACAGTCATAGCCTCAGACCCACACCTTGGAACTGTCTGAGCTTTTCTTCTAGCTATCTAAAACAGATTGCAGAATCCTCCATGTTTCTTAAAATGCCATTATAAGGAAAACTAACTAAACAGGTGAAAACTATTCAAAATGTGTATCATGAAGACAGATCTTTGGAGATGAATTTTGGCTGGAAATTGATGAATTTCTTTTGTCTCCCCCTGCTGGCAGAGAACGGTTACACTGCCGTCTGACATGCAATGGAATGATCAGAAAGATCGTTTTCAAGTAGAAATAAATTCTCTTGTGTGATATTGCAGGATTTATTGGTTATGCTCCCCATATAAACCAAATGGTACAGCAATGGAACCTGCAGGATAATGATGATGACCAGCTGTTTTATACCAAAATCTATATTGACCCACTGCAGAGGGTATGTAGTGACTCATTTTCTCCTCAATAGTAGTTCTTGCCACTTGAAATAACTTGCTGCCTCAATTATAGTGTCAGAAGGCTGCTACAAACTTGCTAAGAATGGAAAAAAAAGTTTCCTGTGATTAGCTGTGAATGCCATAGTGTAAAGATGGTTGCTGTACTGCAGGGGCTGTCAGCCTAGAGAGTCATGAATAGACTTCAGGAGGATCATGATTCAGAGTATTGTTTCAGGCTGTCTGCAGATCCTGGCAGGCATCACTGTAGTGCCTAAAATAATAACTCTGAGAGATGTGATCAGCCCCATTAATCTCAATAAAGGCCCTGTGGACTCTGCAGGTACCTCTTGCTCTCTAACTTTCCACCCAAAGGGGGAATTAATTGGATTACAACCTGGATTCTCAATGTGGGGGGCACAATCCCCCATCCATCCCATATTGCTAAATGGGAGTTCCAGTTAAGTCCCAGCAAATGATGAGATCACAGGGTGGTCCTGGTATGGCAAAAGAGGTCCCAGCGTGGAAGAGTCTGGGAACCAGAATGACATGCCGAAGTTTCAGAAGGTCATGCTTCAGAAGTAATTTTGAGTTTATAACATGGGATAAAGGGAATGGCTCACTGAGAGGTGAAGTCCTTTGAAATGTATATAAAATCAAACAGTAGTTTGTGAAACCAAGTCACAAAATATGTAAGGAAATCTGGAGAGCCTGAAGGAAGTACTGTAATTCAAAGCTGAATATAAACCTTTTCTGTTTGAAGTGTATATGCCTGGATCAATATTTTTAGTTTTGGGTTCCTACTGCCAGGCACCTAAATCTGTAATTAGAAATAAACTCATACCCTGAGTTTCAGAGGTATAGTTAATCAGAGCTGCAACACAGAATTCCTATTTGATCCTTGCTAAAAGATGTTTTCATTGCAATGAAATACTTCAAAAATATTTGCAGGTCACCTTTTAGGCCTGATACGGAATTCTTTGTGCACCCTAAACTCCACTGAAGCTAAAGAGAGTTTGGGGTGTTCAATGAATATACAAACAAGCCCTAATTATTTTCTAGAGGCAGGGTAGAAACTTCAGTTCTAGTAGAACTGTGTATATTAGAGCCACTGATACTGTATTATGTCAAGAAGCATAGTTTTAACTTTTATATTTGAAGAAATATGCTTTATGTTGTGTTTTTAAAAATGTTAATCCTGTTTGGCTATGACTTCTTTAGTCTTTTTTTAGAGAGAGGACACAGGGGGAGACTTCTCTCTAGCTTATACTGACAAACTGATTCCTTTGGAAAGTCATGACCTCCATTTGCTGAGTTTACATAATTTAAAGCAAACTCATTGCTTATGTATAGTGCCCTACCAAATTCACAGCCATGATAAATGCGTCCTGGACTGTGAAATCTAGCCTCCCCCAGTGAAATCTGGTCTTTTACCCTATACTATACAGATTTCATGGGGGAGACCAGCATTTCTCAAACTGGGGGTCCTGACCCAAAGGGAATTGCAGGGGGTCGGAAGGCTATTTTAGGGAGGTTGCGGTATTGCCACCCTTACTTCTGCGCTGCCTTCAGAGCTGGGCAGCCAGAGAGAGGCAGCTGTTGGCCAGGCACCCAGCTCTGAAGGCAACGCCCCACCAGCAGCAGCGCAGAAGTAAGGGTGGCAATACCATACCATGCCACCCTTTACTTCTGTGCTGCTGCTTTTCAGAGCTGGGCACCCAGAGAGTGGCGGCTGCTGACTGAGGGCCCAGCTCTGCAGGTAGCAGCACAGAAGTAAGGGTGGTAATACCATACCATGCCATCCTTACTTCTGCTGACAGCGGTTCTGCCTTCAGAGCTGGGCTCCTGGGCAGCAGCCGCTGCTCTCCAGCTGCCCAGCTCTGAAGGCAGCACTCCCATAAGCTTCAGCACAGAAGTAAGGGTAGCAGTACCGCAACCCCCCCTACAATAACTTTGCGATTCCTTCTCACCCCCACAATTCCTTTTTGGGTCAGGACCCCTACAATTACAAAACCATGAAACTTCAAATTTTAAATATCTGAAATCATGAAATTTACTATTTTTAAATCCTATGACTGTGAAATTGACCAAAATGGACTGTGAATTTGGTAGGGCCCTACTTATGTACTAGATCAATTTAAACAATTTTCTGATGAATCGGGTGTTCTGGAGGGAATACGTGTGCAAGTAACTGTCAGCTGTAAAGCTAAATAAGACTTAGAAAAAGAAGAGTATTGAAAGATTTAAAAACTTGCAATTAGATTCCCCAAAACAGATGAAACATAAAACTGTAACTTTTAACTGGTTAACTAACATCTGTCAATACATTTAAACATGTGCTGTGCTAACTTTTATAACACCTCAGTGTCTTTGCTGTTTTTAATTTTTAGGCACGTATTAACATTACTTTGGACCACAAGTGCAGAATTTTCCAGACCCTGAATGGAGCTGTTGGTATGTGTATTAGCACGTATATTGATTGGCCTGTACTGCATATGTCTGACATTAACATTCTTTTTTTGTTTGCTTTTTAAAGTGAAAATAGTTCTCCCTTATTTTAAATAAATAAATTATACATGTATGCAAGAGATTACTCCATGATGAACACGTTAGTAAGATTATCCTGTCTCTCAGATCTGATATGTACAATATCAATTGATTTTTCTGTATCACTAGCAAAAATATTAATTTTAGATAGTTTTGATATGTCTAAAACTAGGTTTGTCTAACAGTGACAGTGAAGTTGACTGACCTTTCCATCCTTCTATAACTAAATTTAATTAGGGCTTGCAAAGTACATATGGTATGTAAAATCACATATTCATTTGAGATCACTCTAGTAGCAAGGCATATAATGGAATAGGCTAGCTTTAATTTTGAATTTCCTTACATTGACTGGATTGTCATAATTTTAGTTGGAAATCCTTTTTTTATGTATGCACAAACTTCCTTCCTTACCTCCACCTTTGACCTTCAACTGTGGAACATCTTAATTGAATTCCTTCGTAAATGGAAAGTTAAAGTTATGCTGGTTTATAAGCTCTAGGCAAAGCTTTTTAAAACATGTGAAGGATGTAGAGCATAAAAACCTCTGAAGTTCCCTATGGACCTTATCCTCCACATCTAATTTACCTGTGCAGTGCTTAAAGACTAAGATAATAAGAAAGCCCATAAGATAAGTAGTTTAAATAAATTAATACTTAGCTCTTATATGCCATTTTTCATCCATAGACCTCAAAGCATTTACCAAGGAGGTCTGTATCATATCTCTGTTTTACAGATGGGAAACTGAGGCATAAGGCAGAAAGGCACTTGCCCTCACTCACCCTGCAAAATAGTGGCAGAGCCAAGAATTGAACATAGGGCCCGGGACTAGGGCCAGACTACTTACAATACCAGAATAAATGTAAAGTCTGTTAATTGTGACACAGCACCAATCGCTTGAGCATCCTCCAATTAACTATTTTCATTCGTATTGTTAACATGCTGGTTAATGTGCAGATGAAGTTCTTCTGAAATTTGAAGAAGGAAGAGTAAGAGCTAGGAATTCAGTGTATGAGACGCTGCCCATCACTCTGCATGGAAATGGCCCCACTAAAGTAAGTGACAGTCACTTTTTCAGCTTTTATCAAGGACCAGTTTTAATAAGACAACAAAAGAAACTGAAATAAACTTTCAGCATAGCACCAGGAAATGAGGTGCTCACTTCCCGATTAAAGTTAATAAGAGTCACATGGCTAAAGTTTCATATATTGTGCTGATCACTTACTCCTCAGCCTGTTATTCCATTGCCACTATATTGATAACAGGTTATAGCAACTGCTCACTCTTTGCTTAGCAAAGTTGATTGCAGCTCTGGATTTCAGAAGCTGATGCTTTCATTGAGCTATCATTGCTGAACAGCAAGTGGAGAACTTTGATTTTATTCATAATCATAGTAGGTGATTTATGCATAGTGGGGCTTTTTGCAAATTAAGTATGTAGAGGCTTTGGGGGGAAGAGAAGTCCCAGGCAGGGCACAGAAGTGGAGTATAACGCCTCAAGGCTCCAACTGCCGTCCTGCCAACACTACTCATTTTAAAATCCCAGCCACTACTGACTGTTCGTTTTCTCCCCCCCCCCCCAACCTAGCATTTCATCTTTTAAAATTAATATCTCCTATATTAGATGCTGTAAACTATGGTTGACTTATAATTCTAAAATACATACTAGCTGTCTGATATTTCTTCCATATGGCTTCCATTTACAAGGGTTAATGTTTGCATGTGTCCTTCCAGTCATATGCATTACATGTAAACTGTACTACTAATTTTTTCATGAATTTTAACCTACAGACAATATAAAAGCTAGTAATTGAAAACATTTGAAAAGTTCAGCTGTAGGTGTTATAGGCTGCAATGTCATCTAGAACATATTTGAGGCCTCATTTGCTAACACTTTTTTGTGGGGTCTGGGAATGGTTTTAGTAGATACATTTTCCTTATTTGGCCTAATATTTGCTTGATTCTATTTGACACTAATTAGTACCTCTACTTAGCCGTCAAAACTCAGATACAATTGTATTCTCATATGTGTGACAAGTGGATCGGGTGAAGCCTAATTCCCAAAATATTAAACAAAACTTCTTTCCTGTTTATAGTCACACAGCAGCTTAACCCACTTCTGTCACGGTGCAAAAGCATTTTAAGGATTTTAGTCTAAAAACCTACTGAAGCAGGAAAAAAAAATCCTACTATGAGTTTCTCTGAACCATTTTGTCATAGTCTGATTGTGCCCTTCTGTGGCAATAGAGCTTAAGCAGAGATACATAAATGTGATGAACAGGTTAGAAAAACATTTAAACGTTCACCAGCTGGGGAATGGCCATGAATTGAGATAATCTCCTAAACTAAAATACTTAGTATTTGCAAAAAACCTCTATTTTATACATGTTCTATTGAACTCATTAGGATTTAGTGGATTACTTTTTATCTAAAAGGTAGAGCAAAATTATAGCAATAATGTAAAGTGTTCTTTACACTTTTCCTTAGTGTAGTTATCTTTGTATTGGTGTCATATTTTATTTGGCTAAGCACTCTTACAGATTTAATTTTAGGTATCTGAAAGTCCGGTAACACTTTATTTTTTCTCTGACTTCAATAAATATTTTCCAACTTCTACATATGATAAAGAAAAGGGAAATAAACATATCAGGGCAAGTACAAGCAAACTGTAACAATTTGAGTTTATCATGGAGCAGTTTTCACATGGGAAATTGTGCTGCCTATTCATTAAGTATAATAGGAGTGGTTGTAGGGCAAATGAGTAGGCAAATTCTAAAATAGGTTTATGATGGTATGGAAGAAGTCCTTTAACCCGTGAGAATGGTAATATGAATTTGGAAGGGACCTTATTTGCTAATGTGGCTGTGGATAAAATATGGCATCCAGGAACATTTGGCTCCCAGGATAGCCTAACCTTAGAATAATTATATAACTGATTTGGAGCCAATTCCAAAGTTGACAGTACAACTGCCAGAGAACCTGTCAGAGAGCCAGGTGCATCAGTTAAATATGTTTCACTGTTTGTTTTCTGAGTCCTGGAATAGCTGCCCTAAAAGGGAAAAAGCTTCAGTCCAATTCATTTGACATCTGTGCACCTGTATCTTCTAAATATTATATAATCCCTTCCCAGGAAGTGTTGCCCTTTGCCCATCTCTATTTTCCCATAAATACCAGTGACCATCAGTTACTGGAAGGGTACTAACTTGGTTCTAATAATATTTTTTTGGCATGGCATTTTTCAAAGACAGGTGAAATGCAGTATGTGTTTTATTATGCCCACCACAATTGTTCAGCTTCTTGAAGCTGTGACCACAAATTCCGCCCCCCCCCCTTTTTTTTTTTTTTAGGAAGAAAAGCATACCTATACAGAAATTAAACCTATTTTGAGGATTAACACTGATGTGTTAATCTCTGTGTTAAGATACGGAGATGGGTTGTATTTACATATAGTAAATGTGAATTGTTCTTTTGCTTACTAGATTTACCTCAATTACTTTGGAAATTATATCCCTAATGCTTGGACACGTGAAACTGGATGTGGTGTTTGTGATTTAGATGTACTAGACCTATCAACGGTTACAGTAAGTATATCTCATGTATAACTGAACACTTTGATACATGAATTTCAGTGCCCTTATAGTGATTTTTCTGAGACAAAAAAGCTACAGTACATAATGTTACATTTCAAGCACACTTGAGGCTGTTTTCATATGTTAGATATTATGCAAAATAATAATGGAAACAGATTAATGAGTTACAAACTTATCAGTACTATTTTAAGTGGCAAATGTCAATATTTTCATATTGATTATAATTTGGCACCACCCCCAGCCCAGAGACCATTTCCCCCCTCATCCCCAGCCCCGCCGCAGAGCCCTCACCCCCTCTGCACTCCAACCCCCTACCCCAGCCTGGTGAAAGTGAGTGAGGGTGCGGGAGAGTGAGCGATGAACGGAGGGGGGATGGAACAAGCGGGGGCAGAGCCTCAGAGAGGGGGAGGGGCCGGAATGTTTAGTTTTGTACGATTAGAAAGTTGGCAACCCTACTTGCATAAGTGTATGAGATTGCAGATTGTCCCCCTCAACCAGCTACAAGTCTGTGCAAAGATGGGAGGGACTCTCTGTGTGTGGAAGGGGGACTCACACCAGTTCTGTGTCTCTGTTCCCTCCCCCCCACACTTACCCCCTCCTGCCTTCTGGACCCCTGTGAAGGGTGTGGTCTTGAGCCCATGCTGTGGGAGAGGGTAGAGAATGGGAGAGATCAAAGGGAAGGATTGTGTAGGCCAGGAATAGGGGTTGTTAACATACATTCTCCCCACCACGCCCGGTGATGTACTCTCTTTTCTTAGGTGTTTCCTTCACCACCTATCTTGGCTGCCCCAAGATTCCCAGGGGGAGTGTCTGGTAGCAGGGCTCTGCTGGAATGCTATAGCCAATGAGCAGAGGAGGGCCCAGGAGGTCACCACCAGTGCAGAGGCCCAAGAACTCTGTGTGGCTTGCCCTTGTCTCTTGGGCATCAATTTGACAATGAGCCCTTCAGGTCTCTCTGTGGGGTGGGGGTGCAAGTCCCTCTCACCCACCAAAAAGCAGTACAGTGATGGGGAATCTCTGTGAAAGAAATTCTCATGGAGATTTCCTTCCCCTTAGTTCTTTGTTTTCCTTTGTATAGCGAGCAAAGGATGCAGTGGTGACTGGAGCACTTGTGTGTGTGTGTGTGGGGGGGGGGGGGGGGGGGGGTGCGGGGCAAAAACATAAGAGAGGAGATCCTTGTCCTTGAAGGGCTTACAGTTTAATTAAAGGCAAGATGCAACAATTGAGTAAGGTGTAGGGAGGGTGGATGGACCATGATAAGAAATAATGAGGCTGTAAAGGTGCTGCTTCCTTAAAAGGGCTTATGGGACCACGTCTTCCATTTGCATTGTGGGGTGGAGAGACTCAGCTACCTACCTTTGGGCCTGGTGCTGATGGTGTGGCTGCTGCTTCTGAATTTCTTCCTGGAGAATGTGGGGGCTATCTTGAAGTGCCACACCCCCAGAATAATCCCACGGAATTTGAAAAATATGCAAAATCCATTGTATTACTTGCCTTGCTTGTGTGTGCTTTCTATTATTGGTAGCAATTATATATGCCCTGCTTAGTGATGCATTTTAGTACAGCATATGTCACTTTACTGATAAATCTTCTTCATAGAGTGGTTAACATTTGCTTGTATTCAACAATATAAGTTACCATGACACTTGTCTCAGTAGAGCAGTTCCTGCCAGAATGACAGTAGATTGGAAATTTCAATTATTTTTTTAAGACATGCCTGTGTACCACTTAATCACCGCTTGTTTGAAATGATGCAAATTGGAATACAAGTTGAAAATGAAACAGAAACAATTATATTTGTAAGTCAAGCTGGTTTTCCCTATGAATGCTATGCAGTCCATATAAACCTGGGTATGAAGAACAAACATAATGTTTGCTTTCAGGAAAACATGCCGACATGTTTCTGGATTTCACATATGGACAGTGCTATATGCAGTGTTGTTGTAGCCATGTCCATCCCAGGTTATTAGAGAGACAAGGTGGGTGAGGTAGTATCTTTTATTGGGCCAACTTCTGTTTGGTGAGAGAGACCAGCTTTCTTTTTATTAAGATCATGATTTTTAGTGTCTAGCAAAGTTATGATAATAAAGACTGGATTTATGGCTTATTACAACCATTTGAATTTGCTAATCCCCCTTTTTGTCCTCGTGACTACAGGGGCGTTAACAGGCTACTTCACCTTAAATGGTTCCTTAGAATATGCGCTACTTATGCTACACTATTTGTGTATTTAGCTGTGACACTTAGAGTACCTTTCCCAGACCTGAAGAAGAGCTCTTGTGTAGCTTGAAAGCTTGTCTTTCTCACCAAACTGAAGTCGGTCCAATAAAAGACATTACCTCACCCACCTTGTCTCTCACATATGGACAATGATATTGAAATTTCAACACATCCTGATATCTTATGCATCCTCATCTTATGTAAGGGAATGTAGACTTGCTTAAAGAGAACTAAATTGAAGCTTTTTATACCCATATTTGGTTTCTGTCTGAAGTCCATTGCAGAGAGTTTTTAAAATGTTTATATTAATTGTCTGGTTTAGAGGTAGAAAAATATTTGTAATGATAAATTTTTGTGTGTAGGAGTACATTACTAAAAGTTTAGATGTCTATCTCAAATAACTTACAAACCTTTTCTAGATAAAAAGTTACCTAGTTTTGTTTTCAGATCTTTTTATATAACATTCCTGTAATTTAATATTACTGTTCTAAACCGAAAGTCCAAAATAATTTTAGCATCTAAATGGTTTAAAAGCCTTTGCCTGGCTTTGCAACACTTCTCTTCTATTTTTAATGAATTATTTCATTATTCTTGTTACCATAAATTGCAAATAGAAAAATAAATTTTGCTTAATGCTAACGAGCAAGTTATAGTAATCTATTTGCATGATTACAAAATTTTTATTTTAATCTACAGTAAAATGTATCTACAATGTATATCTCCTATAGCTGACCCATCAATAGTTCCTTGAGTTCCTTAATAGGGAAGTAGTATGGCTTGTTTATAAGGTTATGCCTTGCCTGTCTTTGGCTGCTTTCCATGCATTAATGAACTCTTATAATATGGATTAGTAAAATATTTTGTGGTATAAATTCAGTTTTGTAATTTATTTTTAAAATCAGTCTGTTTTCCTTTAGACAACAAAATGTATTTTCTCTAGCTAAAACATTAACTTTATAGATTTTTGCATACTATTTTAAAATTATTTTGTGAAATATTGTTTTTCTAATGTTTATATGCATTTCTTTCATAGGCCAGTAATTTAAAACCTTGACTTTGCAATATTTAGTAGCTACACTGAGAATGAAAATAACTTGTAGAGAATTTAGTTAAGTACATAAGAGTGGCTATATTTGGTCAGACCAATGGTCCATCTAGTAGCAGTTCTGCAATTTCATATCTGAGTTTCTTCAGAATTCTTGGCTGAATACCATCTGGTCCTGGTGACTTATTGCTGTTTCATTGATCAGTTTGTTCCAAAACAACCTCTGCTGTTGCCTCAATCTGAGTTCCTCAGATATGTCACCTAAAAAGAATGGCTCGGGGTGTGGGAATCTCCCTCACATCTTCTGCAGTGAAGACTGTTGCAGAGAATTCATTTAGCTTCTTCATAACTGCCTTGTCTTCCTTAAGTGCTCCTTTAGCATCTCGATGGTCCAGTGATCCCACTGATTGTTTGTGATGTGTCCTGCTTCTTATGTTCTTTAAAAAAAAAAAAAAAAAAAATGCAGTTAGTGTTTGTGTCTTTTGCTAGTTGTTCCTCAAATTCATTTTTGGCCTGCCTAATTATACTTTGACTCTTGACTTGCCAGAGTTTATTCTCCTTTCTATTTTCCTGAGTAGGATATGACTTCCCATTTTTAACAGATACTGTTTTAAATCTCTAACAGCCTCTTTTACTCCATTTAGCCATTATGGCATTGGGGTGGGGGGATCCTCTTATTTTGTGTGTGTGTGGTTTGACCCTCTATAATGGTGTTTTAAAACTGCTTCCATGCAGCTTGCAGGCATTTAACTCTTGTGACTGTTCCCTTTAATTTTCATTTACTTAGCCTCATTTTTGTGTAGTTCCCCTTTTTTGAAGTTCAATGCTCCTGTGGTGGCTTTGGTATTTTCCTCCCTCCAAGGATGTTAAATTTAGTTATATTATGGTTGTTATTATTGAGCAGTTTAGGACTAAATCAAGAATTTCCTCTCCTCTTGTGGGTTCCATGACTAGCTGTTCCAAGACATTAATGGTATCTAGAAATTTTATTTTTGCATCCCAACCTCAGGTGACATGTTCCCAGTCAATACGGGATCGTTGAAATCCTCCATTCTTTTATTGGGTTTTCTGTTTTTGTAGCCTTTCTAATCTTCCTGAGCATTTCACAGTCACCGTCACCATCCTGGTCAGGTGGTCAGTAGTGTATTCCTATTGTTATATGCTTATTATTCAAGCATGGCATTTCTATCTATAGAGATTCTATGGAACTATTTGATTCATTTAAGATTTTTATTAAATTTGACTCTGCTTTCTTTCACACCATCCCTCCCCGCCTCCACCAGTGCAACCCATTCTGTCGTTTCTATATATTTTCTACCCTGGTATTGCCATGCCCCATTGATTATTTTCATTCCACCAAGTTTCTGTGATGCCTATTATATCAATAGCCTCATTTTAATATCAGGCACTCAAGTTCTCTCATCTTTAGTATTTAGACTTCTTGCATTTGTATACAATCACTTATAAAATGTGTCAATATTTATTTGTCTGCCTTCATGTGATATAATTAAATGGGACTCTTTTTCATTTGCCTGTTTCTCTTCAGATCTTATCTGTACTTTTATTAACTTCTATCCCTATTCATAAATCCTTCCCAAAAGGAATGTGTCTGTCAGAACTCCACACCTTCTGACTTTCCCACAGTGCTCAGTTTAAAGACTCCTGTATGACCTTTTTAATTTTACATGCCAGTAATCTGGTTCCATTTTGGTTTAGGTGGAGCCCATCCTTCCTGTATAGGCTCCTCATTTCCCAAAAGTTTCCCAGATCCTAATAAAACTAAATCCTTTTGGTTTACTGGACATCTATGTTAGCCTCTTGTAAAATCAGATAGTGAATGCACACAGAAGCATGATTTTTAGATATGTAGTTTAGATCAACTGTACTAAAAACAGGACTGAGCTCATGCTGTTGTAGTCTTAGAGAGGAGGGAAATGTTCCTGGTTGTATTTTGTGTCAACAAATTATTTCTTTTAGGAACATCCAAGGGTTACAATTGGTGTTTTCATTGAACAACCAACTCCTTTCCTACCTAAATTTTTAGACAGACTGTTGACTCTGGATTACCCAAAGGAACTACTTAGTATCTTCATTCATAATAATGTAAGTACTGGGGAACTATCTGGAGCAGTTTTACTTCTATTCAGGTGCAATTGCTAAAATGTAATTGAGATTTTTCGTAATATGGTAAGCAGCAATGGAAAATATGTGGTAATATAATGTTGGTAAATAGCAGCAATAGCATTTTTCTCAGAGTTTATTTGATTAAATTCAAGAGGCACTTTCTGGAGCCTTTAATTCAATTATATTAGTTTTTTTTTCTGCTTTCTGTGGCCAAGACCTCAATGTTATTTTGTTACAATTCGGGTTCCTGATGTTTGTCATAACATTTGTATTACATGAGACTCCCAGCCTTAAAGTGAAAGATATGAGTCTTCAAAACATACACAGGAGAGAACAGTTGGGCTGACTTTTACTTTGAGTGCTCCTTGCTAATCATCTAAGGCAGTGGTTTTCAACCTGTGGCCATGGTCCGCTTGCAGCCCAGTCAGCACAGAGCTGCAGCCCATGTGACATCTTCAGGGCCATACAGGTAGTATTGGATGCAGCCCACATAACACATTGTGGGCCACATATGCGGCCCAAAATAGTAAATAGGTTGAGAACCACTTATGTAGGGGCTCAGTCCTGCAAGATTTAGGCCCTATTGACTTCAGTAGCATTAATCATATGAGTAGTTACTGATGTGCACAAGTCTTTGCAGGATATGATAGCAGGATTGATCCCTGTATTTTTCTCTCTTTACACTGGCATGTAGTCCATTGACATCAGTGGCATAGCGTGCCCTCAAGCTTTATGAATATTTTTGTGGGGGGCGGGGGAGATAGTAAAAAGATATGCAGATTATATACCAGTAATAACTATGGTCTTTTATCATTGTGCAAAACAAGGGCCTCATTGTGCCAATCAGAAGTTAAATAGCCTCTGGAATGATCAAAAGAAGTTGGCTATCCTTTTTAATATAAAGAGGGGGGAAATTGGTGAGGATTTGGTTTTTTTTTTTTTTTTTTTTGTTTTTAGTTATTCTAAAGCCAGCCATGTTATCTGAGAGTTGACTTAGAACTATTGTATGCTGTAGAGAACTGTAAGGCTAAGGAAATTAACAATCAAGAGAAATAATAATTAGAAAGTAATTTCTGAGAGAATTATTAAATATTCAGCACTTCTATGAATATACACAGAAATGTTGGTTTTACCAACTTGGGTGAAGATACTCTGCACAACTTCCACCTTGCTTCCTCCCCACAAACACTCCGTTCTTTTAGTCAGTGTGTCCAAACAGTTCCCCAACTTCCGTCCATTTAAAAGGCCTCATGTCATAACAAACTACTTAACTTCACAGAAGGATGGATGGTGGTTCTAACCAGAGTAAGTTTTGTGACTCTCCTCCTACTGGCCAACCAGGATTGTTGGAGAGCAGTGAGAGGCACTATCTCTATAGTATTCTTAACCTGAAAGTGAGTGACTGGACCCAAGATCCAAACACTGATCCCTACATGCATTTTATAAAGCTCTAATCGCACATCCTGCAACTGGATATGTGTGGGCAGACCATTACATCTCTACAGAGCCCACTGAAGTCCATAGGAGTTTGCATGGGCATAAGCGTTCATCTGTGCAGATTTTAGTGTGGGTTTGGGGCCATAGATTGCAAAATATGCATCCAGCAAAATTATCATATAAACCGTTTGCGATTCCCCCAATACTAGAACCATAATAGAAATATGAATTCCATTGTTGCACCACAGTGGTTTTTCTAAGTTCTTCAACAAAAGAGCTTGTTTTAGTACTTGAAAATATTCTGAAGATATCTGCAAAAATTGTAATCACCTCTTCTTTCTTCCTGTGATAGTACAATTTGCACTTGGATACTAAATGTTTTATTATTTGTGTCTTACAGCACAGCAATTGGTATTTTACATTAACTCTGAATTATGTTAACATGATTACAGGAGGTTTATCATGAAAAGCACATCAAGAAATTTTGGGAGAAAGCCAAGAAGGCTATCAGAAGTATAAAAATTGTTGGACCTGAGGAGAACCTGAGTCAAGCAGAAGCCAGGAACATGGGAATGTAAATTTGGTTTTTCTAAGTCTTTTTTTTTTTTTTTTTTAAATTGTATACTAACGTTAAGTTAGATTATACATTTTCAATAGAGGATAAATAGACACTTAAGCAAAGATTTTCACGGAATAACAAACTCTAGTTAGACACACACACTGTAATATTGAATGCTTTATGATGTGTCCTCATTATGTATACCATTATTTGTTTTTAATATAAAAAGCTGTTGTTCATTTGTGTAGGCATTTCTTGTTGGCTTGGATTTAACTTTGTTTAAATGATCTATCATTTGGACTTCAGATGAAGGCTTTAAGAATATAGGGAATAATAGATTATGTAGGAATGGAACAGATGTTGTGGATTATTCATGAAGTATATCTGGCAGGAACATGAACATATTTCTAAGCATATATGATGAGCAATGAAATTTGTCCAAATATAAATGTGTTTTTAAAAAGAAGCGTGCTATGCAAACAAAGTAAATGATACAACATAAAATACTAGTTAATCTTTATACTACATTACACTACAAGATGCGTGGATGTTGTTTCAAGTTTAAATAGATAAAATACTTTTTTCAGAAATTAACATTTCGGCTACTATTTTCAGGGATGCACATATGCTCAAAACTTAAAACAAAGTTAGTATAGAATGATGTGTCAAGAAAAAAAATACAGCTTGCATTCAAAGATGCATCAACTCTATGCATTCTTGTACTCGACATCTTTGATCTTGTTTGTTATAGTAAAATTAAATTAAACTTAGTGTAGAACTAGAAGGAGATCTGGATATGAACACACCATCATTTTCTCTTTCTGCATGTATGGAGTAGGGTGGGGTTCAGAAATTGAACCCAGACCCAGATTTTGCATCTGTCTCCTATTTCATTAATTTGTATTTCATTAGTTCAGATCCATTCTGAACATCCCCCAAGCTTTATATGTGGGTGTAGTTTGGAACCTGAGCTTTGATCTGTATTTTATGGTTTTGGTCTATTCTCTCCAGGTAACAGTGAGAGTCTCTACAGAGACCATGTTAAATGCCAGATCAAACTGCTCAATAATCCATTTTATTTCCCTAATACCAAATATATACATTCTTACTCAGTGGCTTTACAATTACTTTCATTTTATGCTGTAAAATACATTTTCTTTCATTATTTTAAATTATTTATTTATTTGTATTAGGGAGGGCCTTAGTGCTATTATTTTTCTGGGTTGTGTAGAATTACATCAGATGCTAACGGTTAACAGATTTCTTGGCCTTTTCCCATGTTTTGTTCTAAATGTATATGCAACTACTTCCAACGTTGTCTGCTTCCATGTCTTTAATGGCCTCTAAAACTGTATTTCAAGGTACTTCTGATGAGAAAATGCAATCGTGATTATTCTCAGGACATTGCAAAACAATGCTTAGGGGAGAGGAACTGAATCATACGGGGCTCCTACCTGTTCGTTTCATATTGAGAATTGTTGATTTAAAACTTCCAGTGGATGTTATCTTTATCCATGTTTAAGTTCTTTTGACTTAATGGTCTAAACATCACTTAAGGGGTTATAGGTATTTTCCGTCCCCAAAAGGGCACTTCCATATTACCGATGTGTTTCTGGCAATCTTACCTGCTGCTGCGTATTCCTTGGGGTCTTTTATTACCTTGGAGGCACAGTAATAATTAAGAAAAGGACCCTCAGTATAAAACCAAATAAAAGTTTCAGAATAGAATAACACAACTCCAGAAGCACAGCTAAACCACAGGTTAAACAATCAGAGTTTGGAAGTAAGAATCAACCCCTAAATCATTAATATATAAACACTTCCTGTCTGCTGGCAACCCCCCCTCACTATTGGTGATGGCTAATGGACCACATTCCCCTCTTCGGCTTATTAGAGCCTGTTAGATATAACTGAACATACCAGTAGTGTCTTTTATTGCATCTATAGGCCAAATGCATCCCCAGTGCTGCTTGGTTAGGCATGAAGAGGAGTTGCATGCCCAATGTCAGGGCTGACTTTGGTCTTTGTGTATTTACATATTTGTCTTGCATCTTTTTCTGACAGCCACTGTATATTCCTTGCCTTTTCTCTGCATGCCTAGGTAGTTATACCAAGAGATGTTTCAAAAATATTTCATTGCCACCCCCTTACCTCTAAACATATGTATCCCGATGTAAGAGGTTAAATTTGTGTGTGTAATATATGGTCATGTAAAAATGTGTACTGCATCATACAGGGCTCCAAGCTATTGTTAGATCAATGATGCTCTACATTAACTATCTTCCTCTATCCCCATTTAAGTTCTTTTGAATTAATGGTCTAAATATCACTTAGGAAATACCTGTAATCCCTGGAACCTTAGTTCTGATTTCCAGTAGATTTATTCCTTCATCCATCTTTAGGGTTGACCCTACCTTTATAAGGTAGAGAGAGGATCATGAAGTCTACTCTGTGCTGCTCTTTTGAGATTTGCAAGTTTGAAAAAAGAAATAAATCAGAGTCTGCTTTTTCTCCACAATTACATACTGCACTTGAAAACTTGTAAACTGGTTTATTGTATGTGCAGCTCTAGAGGATCTTCCACCCTCCCCCATTTATATTATTGTACAAGTGTGAAAGGGAAGTGCTGTCTTCAGTAATAAGCTTGTATCCTATTATAACACTAAGCTCCAGATCTCCGTTGCAGAGCTTAGAGATCTCTGCCTCCTCTCATGAAGCTTACAGTAGCATAATGTAACAGAAAGCAGAACTACATACAAAAGCCCCTAAGACTCTTTGCGATCCAGCAGATTATAAATAATTTAAATGGATGGTAGGAGTGGTGGTTATAAACTAGCCATTCACCAGAATATTAAAAACCGCAAAGAGCCCCACAAAACTACCTGTTAGGGTTGCATAGCATTCTATCAAACTCCCCTTTGTAAGATAAGAGTATAATCACACTGTGATACATCACACTGGATACTTATTTCCACCACAATACAAATATAATATGGCCCATGTTGTTTCTCCTCTGAAATGCCCCTTGCTAACAGTCTCTGTCCTGCAGGGGATGTGTAGCATAAAGGGAAAGTGTAAATAATCATATATAAGCCAACACAGAAAACAGCATTGTGCTCAAATGATAGCTATTAAAAGTAGGAATTTTAAAGTGAGTAATTCAAATATAAATTGACAGAGCACCTTAATTCAACCTAAAATCAATTCTAAGTCGATTTCAGGTTCAACTATATATTCTTCTATCCTCAAGGTCTGTTTCCACTCCCTTCTGAAATTAATCTGATTCCCTGGGACATCTGAAAAATGTATATTTGCTTTTCTCTGATAAATCTAACTAAACTTTTGGGTTAGATTTGTGACACAAATTCCCTGTGGGTTATATCTGCTGCTTGCTCTCAGCCCTTTCTTCTCTTCATCTGGAATTCAGAATAATTTTATTCCATTCCCTTTAGTATTCCAATGTGAATGCATTGAAAAGAGCGACTCTTCAGAGATCTGACTTTTTTCAAGTTTTGATTGTATAGCTCAAGCAATGCTCACACAGTTGTTAAAAATCTGAGGGTTTTGGGGCCAAATTCAAAAGTGATTTAAAGTGGTATAAACACATCTTCTGGACACCTCAGGATCTGTAATGTCAATTGATACTTATACACCTCCTCTTGTAAGTTGCTTTTACTGCTTTGCTTCTCTTAGATCTCTTAGGCCTGGTCTACACTAGGCTTTTATGTCGAATTTAGCGCCGTTATATCGAATTAACCCTGCACCCGTCCACACCAGGAAGCCATTTAGTTCGACATAGAGCTCTCTTTAAATCGATTTCTGTAATCCTCCCCAACGAGAGGAGTAGCGCTAAATTCGAAATGGCCATATCGAATTAGGCTAGGTGTGGATGGAAATCGACGCTAATAGCTCCGGGAGCTATCCCACAGTGCACCACTCTGTTGACGCTCTGGACAGCAGTCCGAGCTCGGATGCTCTGACCAGCCACACCCCGGGAAAATTTGAATTCCTTTTCCTGTCTGGGCAGTTTGAAGCGCAGTTTCTGTTTGGACACCGTGGCGAGCTCAGCAGCAGTGGCAGCAGTGGCAACAATGCAGAGCTCTCCAACAGAGATGGCCGTGCAATCCAATAGAAAGAGGGCCCCAGCATGGACGGATCGGAAAGTCTTGGATCTCATCGCTGTGTGGGGAGATGAGTCCGTGCTTGCCGAGCTGCGCTCCAAAAGACGGAATGCAAAGACCTATGAGAAGATCTCTAAAGCCATGGCAGAGAGAGGCTACAGCCGGGATGCAACGCAGTGCCGCGTGAAAATCAAGGAGCTGAGACAAGGCTACCAGAAGACCAAAGAGGCAAACGGACGCTCTGGATCCCAGCCCCACACATCCCATTTCTACAAGGCACTGCATTCCATCCTAGGTGCGGCCGCCACCACTACCCCACCCCTGACCGTGGACTCTGAGGATGGGATATTGTCCGCGGCCGGTTCCTCCGACATGTTAGCGGACGGGGAAGATGAAGAAGGAGATGAGGAGGACGAGGCAGTCGACAGCGCTGGCACCGCTGATTTCCCCGACAGCCAGGAGCTCTTCATCACCCTGACAGAGATCCCCTACCAACCGTCCCCCGCCGTTACCCCAGACACAGATTCAGGGGAAGGATCAAGCAGTAAGTGTTTTAAATATCTAAACATTTATTTACAACATAACTGGCATATTTAAAATATTAACAGTAGCTAAAGTGCTTTCAAACATGTAAACATTTATTTACAACAAAACAGGAAGATTTAAAATATTAACAGTGGGTAAAGTGCTTCAAAACATGTAAACAGGAAAGTCAAACAAAAGGGGAATCTGTGCAAAGTGTATCATGATTAGTCTGTCTTTGGGCGCCTCAATATGTAGTCCGAACCATTTTCAAAAAATTTCACAATGTCCGCTTCATGATTATAGTGCCCAAAACCCTGCAGTCATTTGTCCCTCCAAGGGCACCTAAGCCAAGAACTGGTCAATGTAACC